TTTCCTGTTGGGAATGTAGCACCCGGTCAAGATAGGGAACCGCATGTTGGGTGGTCTTAGAGGGAAACCCAAAGCCAACATGCTCCTGATACTTGGGTTACAACCTCCCCAGGGGTTACAACCCCCTAGGTGGCTGGACAAGCTCCGACACTCGGCTCCTCAGCCTGCATGACCCCACTTGATACGTGGCGAATATCTTGCAAGTAATATGTCCCAAGTGGGAGTCACCTGCATAATCCGCTTCGGCGACTTAAGCCGAGAATCTTACCACTTGACGCCTTGGTCCGAGCGTCCCCTTCAGGATCCACCGGGCTATGAACCAGAGACCGCTGGTTGATCCGAGGTAATTCCCGCATGGGTTTGTGTCAAAAGAAGGCGATCCTACTAAGTGGGCTACCCTTCGCCACAAAAACAAGCCGCACCGCAAGGTGGCTTCTGTTGGGATGGGCCTCATCTTGTTGCTGAACGCATTTTTCGCAAACCCTTCCAGCTTCGACAGATCCCTTGCCAGGAGTGGGATGTCCTACTGTCCTACCCTCTAACTCCAAAGGCACAAAGAAACGGGTACACTGAAAAGATATGGTTCTCTGGTTCTACTGGCCTACACAAATATAAATTTGTTTTGGTTTGGAGACCCCGGGGTATGGCGAAAAATGCTGAGAGCCCGAACCCAAGCAAAACAATTGAGAGCAGACCCCTCCCAAATATTGGCTACATGGCTGTGGGTCAAAAATTGGTACCCAATCTGCTGCGGTCCCCTGGTTTAATTTTGACCCATACCCACATGTACCCAGTGGAACCCAGAAAGAAAACCTCCGCATGGGTTGCGCCACCCGACATGAGTTGTTTGCTTTCTCTCCGGGTCGCCAAGGTCAGCTCCTGACTCTTCGTCACCATCATACCGCCCTCCACTGGAACGCCCTCCGCCGTGATCCTCGGAGAAAACGGGCGCCGCTGGGGTTGCGAGCCAAGAGCCTGTAGGAACTCTGCCCGATGTCCGATCCCCCGCTAAAGAGACTAACTTTTAGTGGGGCAAATGGAAACTACCACTAAACACTAAAAAAGCCAAAAAGCTATGGGAATGGCTGGGAGCCACCAAGACAAGAAAGGTGAGTCTGGTTTTTGGAAAGGCGATTGCAGCGTTGGTTCTGCAGCGCCTTCTGATGATTTGCTTGTCGTGTTTTGCGTGAGAATCTGTTGGTGCGATTGCCTGGCTGTGGCTCAAATAAATGTACCAACATGGCACCTTGGTAAATGGAACCAAAGACTAAAATCGCGTAACCCTAGCTCTTGAATTTGAGCCACAGCCTGCTGTCTCCGGTGATTTCCTTGCCCTGCTGACCTGAGAGCAACGGATGAAGATGGCTTTTGGCATCGGTGGATCTAAGCCTGGGGATAAACTGTGACTCCGCGAATGCTTTGTTGTGACATATGGGTGGCTCGTCCTTCTTTCAGGTTGGACCCCCCAAAGTGGAGTTCGGTTGTCACTTGGTTTTCCTAAACCACCAAACAGTGCGTAAAAAGACTCCCTCATTTACAAGCTAAAGCAAGATCCACCAGTTTAAGAGGGTTGTGGGGCATAGTGCCACCCATTCTCAAACCCAGTTCCTGTACGGGACAAACGAGGGTAAAAGCGGGCAGTAAAGTAAATATATAGAAAGAAGAACAGTCAAGCAAACCAAATGGAGAAAGTCGGGCAGTAACGGAAGAGACAATAGATGAAATGGTTATGAATCTAGTTAGGAACCGAAATGGTGGACATATTTAGGTGGGGATTCATGTCCGTCAAATAAATGTTGCCTGCCCCAAATAACAAACAAAAGAACTGTGACTCGCTTGCTTGCCCAAAAGTAGCTGGTTGCATAGACGGCTGATCTGGCGAAGCGTAGTAAGGCTGAACACCTCCTGAGTAGCTTGGTTGAACCTAAAGTAACCAGCCGTTTGTTTACCAAAACCATCCTCCCAAGCACAAGAGACAATTAAACTAAGGATAACATGACATCTTGCTGGACATCCCCAAACATGGTCCCAATGCGAGGAACCCCCCATTTTGGGGGGGCCGGAGAGCCACTGAGGGCGCTTGCCCCACATGATTCCGGTCTAAGGGTGAATTTGAATGAGGGGCCCGAAATGGTGGGTTCATGTCCACCAACCATTTGGGAGAGGGTTCCCTATGAAATGTTGCTAGCCATATCTAGTGAGCCTTAAGGTAGCCTAGTCTGAAAAGTAACCCAGAAAATGGACAAGGAGGGCGGGCAACGCAGATTCTTCCCGAAACATGTTGGAGCCCCCGCAAGAGGATAAGCCACAACCCGGAAGCACAGGGTTCCATGTTTGTCCCGAGGTAGCCTTAAACTCCCGTGGGTTTTTCTTTTGGGGGACCCCTACTCGGTTGCTTTCTGCTCCCCTGCTAAAGGTTTAACTTGTAGTGGTTTAATGGGAAACCCGTTAGTTGGCAAAAAGTGAAAGTCCTAACATCCAAGCAAGATGCACCAAAGCTTACCTTGGGCTCATATGAGGCCAATTCAAAGGAACGATGGTTGAAAAGAATGGGCAAGGAATCAACCCCTAGAATATTCTTACAACCAGCCCCACCTTGGGCTCATGGGTTTCCCTTTTGGGGAGACCTACCTTATATACAACCACCCCCACCCTGGGAGAATGAAATGAAGCCGATTCAAAGGAGGGGCAGCTTGAAGGCGTAGGGGTACATCCCCATCTCTCTGGCCACCACATCCTTCACCTCTGAGCCTTTGCTCGGCGCCACGTCCACCTCAGCGCTCAAGCGCTCTGCGCCGTCGAAACCGGCTCGGGCGGAGGAACCAAACGCCTGGCCGTGGGCAGCCAGCGAACTTCCATTTGGTTAAGACCCCTGGCAGAAATGCAAATCTTTCCAGTCATAGATTCCCTTTAAAACCAACAGGGGAAAGTAAAGAACATTCATTTCAGCAAACGGAAGCTACATAAGCTTCGGTTGTCGGTTGGGGGAGGGGTAAGGGGAACCTACTCACCTAGGTCCTCCAGTAGTTTGAGGTTTTGTCTATTTTAGTAGGGGAAGCCTCCCGCCAAAAAAGGGTAGAAGGCACTGGTAGGGGGATCCAACTCACTTACCAAACATAGAAACTCGGCGGGGTGTCACGTCCACCGACCACTTTTGAGGTGGCTCCAACTCTTCAAAACCTATGTGCTGCGTCTGTTTGCTCAGGGCCGCCTAAAAGAAGATACGTAGCTGTCCTTTTGGTTTCCCTGTCATCTTTTTTGCGGGCACACCCCAAAACCGGTTTTCGGTTTTTCCTTTGGGAAACCCCCTTCAAGACCAACCCACAAAAGCGGGTACCCTCAAAAACCTTCGGCTTTCCCTTGGGTTTGCGGTTTGCAACTCCAAAAAGACGAGCCACCACCCCCACTGAAGTTCAGTGGTCTTTGGCTCGTACCCTCCACTCAGTCCGCCCAAAACGACGGATCGCGCGATCCGTCCCAGGCGCTGAGCACAACTGCTCACCCGCCAGGTTGGCCAACACCAGCCGCAGGCTCGCCATGCGCACTCCGCCGAGAAAAGGCCCCCGGCGGCTGCGCTCGGAGCTCTCAAAAAGGACTCCGGGCAAGTGGAGAGTGGGAAAAAATGGGAGGGGGTAAGTGCACACCCGGCGCGTGGCAAAAAGTGGGATGGTAATTCCACACCGGCTGCAAAACCGATTTTGTTGCAAATCTAGAAACAAGACTCTACACACCAGTTGGAAAACCAACAGACATTGTCTACCATGTTTGTATATCCTGGAGAAATGGAACAACATGGTCTGAACAATTTTGCAAGGCTTCATCTGGACGTCCTCGCGCATGCGATCATTTCCCTCGCTGCAACCCTGGGGGTGAGTGTGACCGGGAGTCATTCTGTCTTCTTTTTGCGCTCGGCTTCTGGTGCATCTTGTCGTGTTTGCAGCTGGGAAGGGTTCGACCTACGAGCCGAGCTTTGAGATGCGGAGTTGGCTTCGGCGGGCAGCTGAAATGAAGTCCGTGTATTTTGGAATGAGGTATGAAACAATGAGATGGCTGTGGCTCAAAAAGCCGGTACCAAAATCAACCCTGGTAAGTGGAAACATGGGCCAAAACTAACCCCTCCTGTTTAATTTTCAGCCACACCCAAATTAGACCACTTCCAGAATCTCCAACGGTCACACTTCACTGTCCCTCTGTTTGGACGGAGTCCAATTGGCTTGAGGTTGGATGGATGGATGGAAGGATGGCGTCGGGGATGAGGGTGACAGGGCGAGGACAAGGACGAGCACGAGGATGAAGAACAAAACAATGATGATGATGATGATGATGATGATGATGATGATGATGATGATGATGATGATGATGATGATGATGATGATGATGATGATGATGGTAAAATGCTGCTGCTGCTGCTGCTGCTGCTGCTGCTGCTGCTGCTGCTGCTGCTGCTGCTGCTGCTGCTGCTGCTGCTGCTGCTGCTGCTGCTGCTGCTGCTGCTGCTGCTGCTGCTGCTGCTGCTGCTGCTGCTGCTGCTGCTGCTGCTGCTGCTGCTGCTGCTGCTGCTGCTGCTGCTGCTGCTGCTGCTGCTGCTGCTGCTGCTGCTGCTGCTGCTGCTGCTGCTGCTGCTGCTGCTGCTGCACGTGTCACTACATTCGACGTTGTAGAACCCGGCACAAGCTCAGTGGGACATTGAGACTTCAACTTTCTGGGAACGCATGCAGGATGGCATGCAGTTCCAACACTCAAACCCAAGTGCGTGTGTGTCAGACTAGCGGAACCCACATACATGCGGTTTTCTTTGTATCTTCCCTTCAACCAAGCTGTAAAGGGCAGCGAGCCTCCAAAAGGCACGCATGGCAACCCAAGGACACCACTTAACTGACTTTGGATTCTAGTAGAATGCTCATGCAGGTTTATATAGGCTTTTCTACAACCCCCCATGAAACCAGGTATTAGCACCACCTACTCGACACCTGTGGCAGGGGATTCAAGATTCGCCCGGCCTGCTTCCTGATCCGGTCGGGGTCCTCTTTGATCTTAGTGTGCTCAGATTCATAGACCTTGCGACGCGTCGGCACACCCTTTGGGTGGCTCGTGTTTCATTTGGGGGCTCAAGTTGTTCGTCGTCCTCTGGCTTCCCTTTGACACCACGGAAACAGGGGGTGCCCTCAAAAGGACACACCCAAAAGACACACTCTGAGGAGCCAACGCGATGGTTTACAAATCCAGAGGATGGCTTCCCTTTAAACCCATCCCAAGGTATCCTCAGATGGAAGTCTTCTGGTGAAACGAGCTACAATGATAATAAAATACTAAAAACGAAAGCAAATGCCCACACATGGACCTGCAATTCGCTGGTGCCACAAAGCATGGTTCACATGTACAATTTATCATGTGTGTGTGGCTCAAAAAATGGTACCATGAACCCTTGATAAATGGAAACAAAGACTAAAACCTGCGCATGCAGCCTCCTTTGGGCCAAAAATGGGAATGGGCATCCTCGAGATTTGACCAAAGTCATCACCCAAGCAAAGTACGTAGGCTTTTCAGGGAAAGGGAAACAACCAAGCATTTCTACCAAATGATAGCATTTGTTTTTGCATCCTACCAAATTTTAAGGAGAAGCAGGCAATTGTTTGTTTGTCAAAGTAACACATTAATTGTTATCCTTAAACGCAGAGGGATTCGGTCACACAACCTGGCTGTATGGCCCACAGATTGAGAGCGCTTTAGAAAACGCAACACTTAGGCTATCAAATGGGTCTGTCTTTTTTGAGGGTACCGTTCGGCGTGGTTGAAAGGCAAACTAATTTGTATTGCCCCCCCCCCCAAAAAAACTAGACGACGAGTGGCCCGGAAGCATAGAGGCAAGTTGATGCAGGTGAGGTAACTCTCGCAAAGTTAGCATGAGGAGTTGGCAGGCGAAGCAATTCTCAAAAAGTTGGCATGAGAAGCTGGCAGGTTAAGTAACTCTCGAATAGTTGGCTGGCAAAGTTGGCGGGTGAAGTAATTCTCGCAAAGTTGACATGAGAAGTTGGCAGGCGAAGTAACTCAAGAGAAAAGTTGGCATGAGAAGTTGGCAGGTGAAATAACTCTCAAAGAGTTGGCATGAGAAGTTGGCAGGTGAAGTAACTCTCGAAAAGTTGGCGTGAGAAGCTGGCAGGTGAAGTAATTCTCGAAAAGTTGGCACGAGAAGATGGCGCGTGAAGTAACTCTCGAAAAGTTGGCGTGAGAAGCCGGCAGGTGAAGTAACTTTCGAAAAGTTAGCATGAGAAGTTGGCAGGCGAAGTAATTCTCGAAAAGTTGGCGCGAGAAGTTGGCAGGCGAAGTAACTCTCGAAAAGTTGGCAGGCGATGTTGGCAGGTGAAGTACCTCTCGAAAAGTTGGCATGAGAAGCTGGCAGGTGAAGTAATTTTGCGAAAAGTTGCCACGAGAGGTTGGCAGATAAAGTATTTCTCGAAAAGTTGGCATGAGAAGTTGGCAGGTGAAGTAATTCTCGAAAAGTTGGCAGGTGAAGTTGCCACGAGAGGTTGGCAGGTAAAGTATTTCTCGAAAAGTTGGCATGAGAAGTTGGCAGGTAAAGTAATTCTCGAAAAGTTGGCATGAGAAGCTCGCAGGTGTAGTAACTCTCGAAAAGTTGGCATGATAAGCTCGCAGGTGAAGTAACTCCTCGAAAAGTTGGCACGAGAAGTTGGCAGGTGAAGTAACTCTCGAAAAGGTGGCATGAGAAGCTGGCAGGTGAAGTAATTCTCGAAGTTTCGGCATGAGAAACTGGCAGGTGAAGTAATTAACCCTCAAAAAGCTGGAGCGGCGGAGGCGCTCCGCGTGCTACATTTGCAATTTACAGTTGCGATTTTCCAGCCATTTGTATCTAAAAGTTGCGATTTTCCAGCCGGAGCTGCGGGAGCACGCTCCGCGTACTACGTCTGTACTTAAAAAGTGCGATTTTCCAGCCGGAGCTGCAGCAGCCTCCGCGTACTACGTCTGTACTTAAAAGTTGCGATTTTCCAGCCGGAGCTGCAGGAGCACGCTCCGCGTACTACGTTTGTACTTAAAAGCTGCGATTTTCAAGCCGGAGCTGCCGCGGACCAGGGGGGAATCGAACCCGGGACCGCGGGATTGCGAAAGCAGGCGCGCACACCACGAGACAACTTCCAAAAGCCGTTTCGCGAGCAAGAAAATCGCACGGCGCCACAGCGAGAGCGCTTCGACACGCACGATCTCCGCAGAGGGTTCATCGGGCTCAAGACAGATGCGCACGGCGCCACAGCGAGAGCGATCCGACACGCACGATCCCCGCAGAGGGTTCATCGGGCTCAAGACAAATTCGCACGGCGCCACAGCGAGACGCGCAGGATCTCCGCAGAGGGTTCGCCAAGGTCAAGACAAATTCGCACGGCGCCACAGCGAGAGCGCTTCGACACGCACGATCTCCGCAGAGGGTTCGCCAAGGTCAAGACAAATTCGCACGGCGCCACAGCGAGAGCGCTTCGACACGCACGATCTCCGCAGAGGGTTCGCCAAGGTCAAGACAAATTCGCACGGCGCCACAGCGAGAGCGCTTCGACACGCACGATCTCCGCAGAGGGTTCGCCAAGGTCAAGACAAATTCGCACGGCGCCACAGCGAGAGCGCTTCGACACGCACGATCTCCGCAGAGGGTTCGCCAAGGTCAAGACAAATTCGCACGGCGCCACAGCGAGAGCGCTTCGACACGCACGATCTCCGCAGAGGGTTCGCCAAGGTCAAGACAAATTCGCACGGCGCCACAGCGAGAGCGCTTCGACACGCACGATCTCCGCAGAGGGGTGCGTTTCGTAAGCTCCCGTCGGGCCTACCCCCGCCATAAAAAGAAGAAGAATTAAGAGTCGAGATGTGAAGGTAGAACAGAAAAGTTAGCTTGTGTTTTTAGGATAGTGAAGTAACACCCGACAAATTAGCTTGTGCTTTTAGTAGAATGAGATAACAGCCGAAAAGTTGACATGAGAAGTTGGCAGGTGAAGTAACTCTCAAAAAGTTGACATGAGAAGTAGGCAGGTGAAGTAACTCTCGACAAGTTGGCATGAGAAGTTGGCAGGTGAAGTAACTCTTGACAAGTTGGCATGAGAAGTTGGCAGGTGAAGTAACTCTCGACAAGTTGGCATGAGAAGTTGGCAGGTGAAGTTGGCAGCCGCTTTTAGAAGAAGAACCCTTCGCAATGCTTCCGGGAAAAAAGCACATACCCAAACAAGAAGTTGCTCTTGCCTGGCAGTGTCATGGGAAGCCAAGCCAAGTAAGCCCGTTTTGGGGGCGCCCAGTTTCCAGCATAATCACCCTCGTGGCTTCTTTTTTTCATGGAAAAACTGGAAAGGTCTGGTCCAGTCCGCAAACTCTGGGCTCTCCCCGCCAAGTCCCTCAGGTCCTCCAGATTTGAGAGGTTAGAATAAGCTGGTACCCACTTTTTTTTCTGTTTTGTTTACTTTTAGTAGGAGAACCCTCCCGCCAAACAAAGGGGAGAGAAGGGCACCTAGCTGGAAGACCTAGGCACAGTTGGTCGCAGCTTCAGTCTGGCTGGATTGGATTGGGAGGTGGGCGGGGCGTGTCCCACTTCCCCTCAAAAGGGGAAACCAAACCGGAATCCAAACCGAACCAAACCACCAACTTCACCCTTGTAGGGTGAAAAAATCCCCACACCACCAATCCAAACCCGCCAAATAAGGGGTTACTTTATTCTCAGTGTTGCGTCTCCTTTCAAGTGCTTCCCCTCCCAAAAAAAGACAAACCAACCAACTTTCTTTTTCAATTTTAGGCTTGGGTCCAGAACCCGAAGAGAATGGCGCCTTGCAGATGTCCCGGTTGTTCTCCATCTCTTGCTCCACCTCCGGAAGGTCAAGGCTCGGAAAACGGCCCCAAAAAGGCTCGGGCGCTGGAGTGGTCAGAGAAAGAACCGGGCGCTGGATGGTCAAAGAATGCGACATCAAACCATCTAAAGGATAAGCTGTTGACAAAGGGGGGTGGGAAAACAAAACAAAAACGAAATCGGGCGCTGTTGCACAAAGGAAACAGGACGAAGAGCTAGACTGGGCCCCCATCACAAGGTCCGTGCCACGCCTTTCACTTGCTTGGATTTCAAATGTGCCATCCACTCGAGAGGTGGATCTGCAGAAGGGAGCCCTGCGTTTTGAGGCTTGCAGTCTTCCCGCGGGCGGGTCCAGCTAAGCTGCTCAATAGTCAAAGTGACCAATGCAGGGCAAGCATCTTGACAAGCCCAAGCAAAACCAAAGCAGATTAAACAACAAAAAGAGGTCTTCTGGAAACGGTCTTCTTTGGCTTCTGTTTTTCTTTTTGATTTGGTGGTTTTCTCGAGATTGTGTCTTTCCTTGGTTCATTTATCAAGTGTTCGTCTGTTTTGTTGATATTGTCTGGGTTTGTTTGTGTGTGTTGGTGTTCTCGGTTTCTTTGTGTGTTTCGCAATTTGGCTTTCTCGAGGTCCTTTTGTTGCTTGGACTTTCTCAAGGTGTTTGTGTCGTGTCTGTAGTTTTATTTTTTGAGGGGCAGCCGAACTGGAAAAACCAAGCAGTTCTACTTGGAAAGGAATTCCTATGCAATCCATTCCTATTACACATCTAGTCAAGTCCGAGAATTCGATTTGAATTGGCTAGACGAAACAACAGGCTTGTCTTTCCATCTAATTGAATTCTAGTTCAACTCTAAAGGCAAGCAGGAATGAAAATAAGAATGCTATATAAGACAATTGCAGCTATTCTGGCTTGAATGAGCAGCAGCAACTAGCAGCATGTTACAACAATCCATGCACGGCCGACCCCTTTGGGTGATTCAGAACTCGCAGTTAAAAAAAACTTCGGTTCAAAGCGAGCGAACAACTGGAAATTCAGATATCAAACCTCACCATCACAAGCAAAGTGCACAGAGTCCCCCAGTCTGATCTCGGGGTTGATTTGGCCGCGGAGTCCAGCAGACGCAATCAGCTCCCTCAAGCTGGTTTTTTTGCTTTATCCCGGCGGAAACCCCAGGTGCTTCGGGCTTGCAAGGGCTACACCAAGTCCAAACCACCACTGAACCTCCAATTGAGGGTTACCTGATGCAAAACAGAACATGAAATCAACAAGCAGTGAACATCGGCAGTTGCATCCAAAGCGCTTCCAAAGAACGAAACCGTCATTGATTCCGTGGAAAACCATCCCTCACTTGCCGAGCGGGGCTGAGAAACAGAGGCGAATTGCCTGCTTGGGACCTGCACGAAACAAGTTTGCCAAACTGTGAATACCAAAAGCTTAGCCCAGGACGGCTAGCTTTGGTTAAACCTTCGCAACCTTGACAAAAGTAGACAAGGATCAGTTTCTAACCCTGGAGTTCCTTTGGTTCTGAGTTTCGGAAGGTGTCCTTGAGCATGGAAAATAACATGTCGGCGATAATTTTTCGAATAGCCATGGCACCTCCCTTCAATTGTGACTAAGAACCCACAACAAGGCAAAAGGCAGGGGTTTTAGTCAGCTTGAAGGCTTCTGGGGACAACCAAACACTTAAACCAGGTTAACCATCCATTGGGCTTCTTTTTAAGGATGCCCGGGGGCTGCTTGTTTCAACAAACCTCTTGCATCACTCTGGTCGCTTTTCTGTTGTTCTTTTGCCCGAACCCCGGTATCCGGTGCGGGGGAAGGGGTTCGGTTTTTTGGACTGGGCCCGGACCTCCTTGATGCGGGCGTTGTACTCCTCGAGCTTCTCCTGATACGTCTCCTTCCTCGCCTTCAGCACGTCGGACTCCTCGCGCCGCAACGCGTTTACCCCGGGGAAACAGGGAGCTGACTGGGGACGCGCGAGAGACCCCATTTTGTTTGTCAAACAGCAAGGCAACACCCAAAAGGAGAACGGAAAGCCAAAGGGAAAAAAACAACTTTTCGGTTACTTCAAGCGAGAGAGAGAACGGAAACCAACCATGACCCCCATTCTGAGAATCAAAAATGAAGCCAGGGAAACATGGCCCTGGAAAAATTGGGCCTTGAGAAGGCACCTGGAAGCCCTGGATATCGACCAAGTCCCTTGAATCTATTGCTCGTGCCAAAACGCAACCAACCCAACCGCCTCTGGCTGGGACTTCTTGGAAGTAGTTACTTTCCAAATACGGCCACTGGACAAAACGTGTGGATATGTCCAGCGATAGGTTCCCTTAAAACCTAAGAGAGCCGAACATCTTCTGAAACGGAAACAGAGGTCTCGAGGAGTGTTGGAGTGCTGTTTTGAAGCCATCCACTAGAGGTCCGGAACCGTATCTGTGATACCGAGAAAAAGTTGACTCCAAGGCATCCAGCTCAGCAGGCAAAGTCGAATCAAGTTTCCCCCAGTTCCCACGGATAGAAAGGTCATTTCATTTTGTGTTGGTTGTGGTAGAGCCCAAAGTTCGCGTCATCTCTGTCACTTTTCAGGGGATCTGGATCCTTGGCCTTAGGAAGCGGCCCTAAGGCCCTAAAATCCCAAACTTTCCAGAACCATGATGTGATGAGGAGGTCAAACCTGGATTTCCCTGCAAATCGAAAGCTGATCCCTTTGGCAACAAACAAAGTCAATGTCCCATACCCAACCGCCTTGATTCACCTTGTCACAATTGCTTTTATCACACTAAGATTCCCTTGGCAACTCACGCAACGTGGTCTTGGGTGAATCAAACAATGGGTCAAAGTTAAACCACCAGGGGACTGCAGGTTTGAGCCCATGCTTACATTTCGGGCAAGCCACTGTGGGATCTTTATCCTCACCACAGCCATGTTGCGTCTTTTTCAGGGGACCCCCCCACAATGGCGGTGGTTTTCCCGTTGATTTCCCTTTACCCCAACCCACAGGGGTAACTCCAAAAAGGATTAGCCATCGCTAAGCGCCTTGTTCAGGAGCTCGATCTCGTCCCTGGCCTTTCTCAGCTTGGGCTCGGCCTGGCCGACTTGTTGGTGTGCTGCCCTCAGATCCCACGCTAAAAGTTTTTTACTTTTAGTGGTTTCAATGAAAATCCAAGGATGGAACAAACAAAGAGGAGGGTCATGGCTATACCTCTTTTCAGCTCTTTTCATGTCCGCAGTCAAGATCAGCGTTTGCGGAAGTTGTCTGGCTTTGTGCCCCGAAAAAAGCGGGCGATGCTACCTGAACCCACGCTATTGGTGGTTCCCATGGAAACTTCCAGCCTTGCATGTGGCCGGGTTGCTACCTGTTGGTGTGCTACCTGTGAAGAAATTAATGGGTTCTTGGTGGCAAATCGTGCTAGGTGACTAACACCCTGAGGAAACTCCAAGAGCGAAGGTTCACTGCTCCAGTGTGAAACGTTCAATGGTGTCAATGCAACGGGATCAAGGGCTCCAGGGGTTTAAGGGGTTTAAGGGGTTTAAGGGGTTCATGGGCAGGTGAGTCTTCAGCTGGCCTAACTCGTGTCAACATGGGGTGTCCAGTTTCTCATCTGAGTGGACTGGCCAAACCAAGCCTTAACCTTGATTTATCGGTTTTTGCTTTTTTGCACCGGACAATCAAGTCCAGGAACTGAGCAGTCCAAAAGAAACCGCTCGGGCAAGCCATGTTGGGGTTGCCCTATGTTTGGTGGCCACCGCCTTCTTTTTCTTTACAGATTTGGGCTTGGTGATCACGGGGGATTCCTCAGATTCCTCGAAAACATCCCCCAAGTTGTCCGAGGAAGCTCTGAGTTTGAAGGCCAACTCAGGTGAACTTTTAAAAAAATGCAAAAGGGGATGGAACTGGGAACCTTCTAGTCAAATACGGCAACCAAGCCCCAAGAAGTGACGGAATCAAGTCCAGGAGCTGGGTATATCAAACTGGCCCGCCCTCAGATCCCCCGCTTTTTTTTGTCCAACTCTTCATGGGCTTAATGGAAACTACCACTAAACACTAAAAAACGCCAAAAAAGCTGAGGACCCGGATGGCTGGCTTCGCCACCAAGCTCCAATCTTCCCAGTGAAGTCGGGTCCCATGGACTTCCGCTCCCGGGGCCTTGCACCTTCTCTCCACGCCCAGCGCGCACCGCGGAACCCCCAAGCTCGCGAAATACGTGGCTGTGGGTCAAAAAATTAAACCACCAGGATATGGACCGGAGATTTTATATGCAGATTTTAGTTCATATTTCCATTTGCCAGGGTTGAGTTTTGGGCACCCATTCTTGACCCGCGGCCAAGTGACTTCCTTTATATCCCCAGTGAATAAGACCCCGACGAAAACATTCAAGACGCAAACTGGGGAGCCGCCAAGCTCAAGACGAAAACGGCGAAATGGCCATGGGCTTCTCAAAATCCAAATCGGTTCGCCCCCAGTGAACATCATCCAGTGAATTCACATCCGATTCCATCCAACCACAAAAAAATAGGAAGCCCAAAATTTGGGTGGTGAATTCACCTCCAACCAAAACGGGATCGGATCAGCCGACCGTTGAACGGTCTTGACAACACCCGCATCCCTAGCGCTTCGCGCTCCGGCCTCCGCCTGGCGCTCGATCTCGCGCTCCCGGAGCTGCTCCTCGGGTATCGGGCGTTTTGGGCGTCCTTTGAGGGGCAATAGATGGATTTCCCCGGATGAAACCACCGATTTGGTCACCAGGGATCGAAGCCCAAAAACCTGTTTTTCGATCAAAACCCATCAAAAAGGACACCTATGGGCTGACGGCCTGACACGACGGAACCGGCCGAAGGAGCGAATTTCCGGGTCTGACTGAGCACGGAGTGCGCGAGTTTGAGGGAGTTTGGGCTGGCCATATCAAAAAGCACAATGACGTAAGCCTCTCAAAAGTGGTTGGGTGAAAACACCTTTCAAAGAATTCTCGCTTTCCTCTTGGTCTCCCCCAAATCAGCCAAAACAAAATCGGGTCCCAACTCTCTAGGGGTTGATTCCTGGTCCATTCTTTTCCACCATCGTTCTTTCCAAAAACCGGATCCGTTTTCCCTGGGATTCAAAGGAGGTTGTCTAGAAAGAAGGATCCCCGCAAAGAATGGGGAAGGTACACCTAGAAGCCCAAGCATGGAACAAGAAAAAGAGAGGTAGTCTCCATGACCATTTAAAAATAGGTCCAAGACCGCATTAGAAGGGTAATGACCCCATTTTGAAAGGGTCAGGGAGACTCTAGGTATAGCCAAGGAGGAACGAAAACCGGTTTCTGATGACAACCGGAAACTGTCAAAACTATAGCCAAGGAGGAACAAACATCGGCTTCTGACTTTGATAACAATCAGAAACTGTCAAAATCATGACCCCGGTTGGGGGTTAAAGGGTCTGGAATTGTAGCACGGGGTGAAGAGGGTGGCTTGGGGAAAAGCATGGGCAGTTGGCTGGTTTGTTTCAATTCGCTTCAACCTGCTCGGGAAAAAGCGTTTGGCTCCGGGGTGGTTGGAGCAATCAACAAAAGCTGGGACCAGCAAGCCTGTTGATGTCCTTTTCGCCCCCTTGTTTATCAAAAAAGGGGCCCTACCCCCTCAAGCCAACAGCCAAGTTGTGACTCCTGGCGCTGATTTCACGCAACCCAAAAAGACATGTTTGATTCTGGTCCATACGACTGTGTATTTTGAATAAAACCCTCTTCAAAGCTTGGCTTAACGAGATTCAAAGAACAACAAAACAAGAAAATGGCCGTATTGTGGGGGTTCCCCTGTCTTGGCACATACCCCTAGAATCGGCAGCCGAAAAATAGGCGTCTCCTGCTTCTCAGCTCTGTCGTGATCTAGCTCAGACAGCTGAATCCTTAGAGCAGTCTGCGCTCCGGCAAGTCCGGGAGTAAGGTGTGGCTACCTGCAGTCTCCATGAATCTTTAACAATGGGGCCATTATCTTAAAGGGTCATGGAGACTCCAGGTATGTCTCTTTTTCTTCAGTGGACCCCAAAAAAAGGCTGTCCTGTGGGCTTCTTTTACAACCACAAATAAATGAGGTATCAAAGCAAGACACACCGCCACGTGCGCCACAAACAAAACTCCTTGTGTCGGGTGGGGGGTGTCTAACATCCTTATGGGGTGCCCCAACTGAAGGGTGGATTTGACCATGAAGCTTGCGAGCAACGGACAAACATGTCCAGAGCATCGCTTTTGCTAACACATTTTGTGCACTGTTCCCAGATCCCCAGCTAAAAGTTTTTAACTTTTAGTGGTTTAGTGGACCACCAACCAAATGGATGGCTGGGAGCCACCCGGTTCCTTTGTGGGTTGAACGTTCCCAACGGTCCTGCCCAGGCGATTCGGCCGGTGGACGTGAAACAAAACACCAAATGCCCCGTTTTTAGCCATATTGCTATAGTAAATCAACCATGCTGGAATAGGTCAAATTAAACTCATATGAGCTCGGTTTACTGGTTACTAGCAATGGGTCGGTTGCTAGCAACAGGTCAAATTGTCTTAAACACCATGGGTCAAATGTAGAACAACGCGTACACCGACCTCATACACTTATGTGTTCAAAGCCCATGGGGATAAACTACGCAACTTGATGCGGAGTTCAACGTCTTCCCTGAACAGTTCCTCCAATTTGCTTGAGCCCCCTGAAAAAAAATCCTGTAGCGATCATTTCTCTTTCAAACCAACAAGGGATAATACAAAATGTGTCAACATAATCTCAAGCAAACCCTTTCAAACCAACAAGGAAAAATACAACATATTCTTAAGCCAATGGAAGTGTTAGGTCCGCCAAAATCTCTTGCCGAAGTGCTGCAGCATCATCTCCCGGTCTTGGGCCACCTGGCAACGGTTCGCAGCTGCGGCTAAAAAAGGGAAATGTCTGGAGTCTCCTTCTCACCCTTTCAACATGGGTGATGGCCCCGAAAAGAGGGTGGAAACACATGTTGGGGTGAGAAGGAGACTCTAGCTGGATGTGGTTCAATCGCCATTCTGGTGTTGTCTCTCTTTGGGTAAAACATGAACCTTTTGGTGGTTTGCGAAGGAAAGCCACCAGTAAAAAATGCAAACGGTCGAGCCAAGTTCACCTTCCAGCCCATGTCGCCGAATGGAACATTTCCCTGTTGTCCCGAGCCTGAAGTCCTTCTTGAGGTCCCTCTTGTATTCAAGAAGAGCAAAAGCAAACAAATGGATCCTCCAAAGACCTTGTCACAAGAAAGTCGAAGCAAGGGACATGAAAATAGCCTACTGCCATTGCTTCGATTGGTACCCTTATATATATATATAATGTATGTATGTCTATACATAAAAAAAGAGAAACAAAAAAAACTATGTACCAACAAACACTTACCGAATGTTTTTGTCTACCGAGGTTTCGCAGCAACGCCTGCGAAACCTGCGAAACCTGGGAGCCGGAGAAACCCATCGCCTGGTACTCTTGCTCGATCTCGAACTTCTGATGCAAAAGCTGCTCGATGCAGTTCTGATCCTAGCGGGTGGATCTGGGACCGGTTTCGATTCTTTTTCAGTTCTGCGGCTTGTCCAAGCCACATCCTGCAAGTCGAAAACTTGTGGGTGAAATGGAAACACTACCACCTTTCACCAACTAAAACAAAAACACCCTTCACATCGGGCATGCGGGTTTCTCTTTTTGGACAAAAAAAGACAAGCCCCAAGGATTGTGGCCGTCCTTTTGGCTTCGCCGATTGGGTTGTGGTTCCCTTTAGAAAATTCTTTATAATGGCTAGGGATGCTTACCAGCTCCTTAGCAGATGGATGACCCCTGTTGATCCCAAGTAAAGGAACCGATCTGGTGAACACTCGGGTGTCTGACTGGACAAGCGGCAGAAGTCTAGTTGCGGCCTTGCTGAGGATTGGGATGTTCACTGGGGCTGCGATTTGGATTTTTGACACATGGCCAATTGGTTTATCACTAAAGCAGGCCAACACAGGACCTGACAGAACTCAGGGAGTGAGTATCCCTTTGCCCCGCTCGTGTACGGTGCTTCTTTCACCTCTCTAGCCCAGCGGTGTGGAGTTTCTCCATCCGAACGACCCATCCAACAACCTTTGTCGGCGTTTTCAGGGGTCCTAGACTTCCCGGCAAATCCACTCTTTGCTGGATCTTGCAAGGAAACTCACGACTTTCTTGGTAGATTCAAACACACACATTGGGAGGTATGCAACGACTTGTCCGGAAAAAGCGGGAGCTAACCCCAAAAAGTCCTCGATAGGGGGCAACAAATCATTCAGCTCCATCCAACACAAAGCGCCTGCCTCCTGGGACTCCAAAGTCGTCTTTTCCAGCTTGATCTTCTCCTGCCTGGGCTGCTCACAAATTCTCACAGCTCACCCTTGCAGAACACTCTAGGTAGTGTTGATTGTGGACATTTGTGAACCCTTTGGTGGACATCAGTAACATGTGTGTCCACAGGTGGCCTTTTGGAAAAATCAAGGGCGCTCGTAATTTAAATAAAGCCAATCTTAAACCAGTGGAACCCATCTACTTCTAACCAAACTAACCTTCAAAGGACACCTATGCTTGCCATTCATTTTTGATTTCCGTGGACAAGGTCCAGACTGTTGCTTCTCGAATCATCCCCAATAGTTTGAAGCCAGAAACTCGGGAAGTGAGAAAAACATGGCCTCCCGCCCACATTCCCATGGCACCTGACAAAAGCTCCCTCAAGGAAACGATTTGGGTATGGGTCAAAATGAATCCACCAGGATATGGACCGCAGGTTTTGGTCCTTTCCATTTACCAGGGCGCTTGCCATTTTGGGGTTTTCCCCGATTCTTGACCACCACAGCCATTTGGCTGTGGCTCAAAAAAACCGGTACCAAAATGGAACCCTGAGTGGAAACATGGACCAAAATCCGCGCAACGGCTCCTGGTGAATCTTGAGCCATACCCAATGCTCCAGGAAACCTCAGGCTTGGTCCACGGGCTTGCGCCTTCTCTCAGCGTAGCCCCTCTTGGATCGGATCTCTGAAACGATCCGACTCCAAAGCGATCCAAAACCACCCCCCCAAAGGGAGACCTGAACACCCCTTTCTGGGTTCTTACTCTTTTTTGTGAGCCAAGATGGACGCTAAAGAGGATTTTCTTTTTCTCAAATGGAGCCTTCAGAACGAAAAATGGAATGACCCCTATTAACCATCCAACTGCTAGGTTCCGTATTTAAGGGAATCCCTGGGTTCATTCATTTCCGCCTCCCCCATCGCACCAACCCAAACCCATCCCGCCGACCCCGTCCCACGTCTCCGAGTCGCATCAAGCGCTGGTTCAGCTGCTTGGCGCGGGTCACAAAGTTCTGCTCGTTCTCGAACCTCGAGAACTTTGGCCACGACCCACCGCGCGGTGTGGCAGCCTCTCTTTGGCCGGAAAAATGTGCTTCTTTTTTAGCACTATAAAACCTGTAAAGCCCCCATTTGGCCGGGTTGGTCCTTCAAAATGTTGTGTTTTGGTTAGCCATGTAAAGCTGCAAAGGCCATTAAGCTGGGTTGCTCTTCTGAGCAAAAGGTCCGATCACCCCCGCCCTTTTTGGGTTTCATGGACACGCCACGTGGGGTCTGGGTCATTTTTTGTCAGTTCGACAAGCTCTGGGCGCGGCGCGTCTGGATGACCATCTCATGGAGCTTGGCGTACTTGCTCTTGTACAAGTCCATCTCAGCCTCACGCTTTTGCGTGCCGCCGGGGTGTCCGTGTTCGTGTCGTGTCATACGAAAAAATTGGAGGACCCAAAACCATTCATCTCTTGGCTGCTTCCCTTAACAAACTGGCTGGTGCAATAGGTAGGGAATGAGGGAATGAACCTGGGGATTCCCTGAAAGGACACCCTAGGGGATGGTTTATAGGGGGCATTCCATTGCTCATTCCCTGCTGAGCACCTGCAACAAAGCAGGAGGGCACCCTGAAAACAAAGCAAGAGGGTGTTCGTCTCATACTCCCGATAATCCGGATCCCCTCTCAAAGGGGACCCTCGTCTTATAACCTACCTCCTTTCCCCACTTCCATGGCCAAGATTTCAGGGAAAACCCCTTCCAAAAAATCGAAAAACAATTGAAGGCACCACTGGAGATTCCCCTCTTCGAGCAGGAAATCACGCCCCCATTATTTGGAGGGTTCCTCCCAAAAAGTGGGAGGACGTTCTCCAAATCGGGCGATTCAACCCCCTGGTTTCAGCAAAACCTCCTTGCCAACTTGAACAGGGCATTCTCTCACTTCCGAACGGGTGGATGGGCAAAAGTCCAAAGTTGCTCTTCACCACTGAAATGGTCTTCCCAAAAAGTTAAGTCTGGGCATTATACCCTGTCTTTTTCTCAGGAACGAAGGAATGACCCTTATAATTGAGGCACTTTGTAAACTTTGGGTGTCCTTCAAGAGGATCATTCCCAAAACTTCGGTCGATTCTGGAGAACCAGCCAGTTTTCTTGATGGTACTCTTCGGGTTGTTTTGAAGGGACACCACGAAAGACACCACATGGCACACATGGAATAGGATCAAGTGCAAAAAGTGAACCATGTTGGGCTGGCTGGCGGAAACAAAATACGCATTCGCGTCAAGAAAGTCAAGACACGGTGGCGGAAATAGTGGCACCAGTTTGGCTTCCCATTCAAAGCTCCCCCCAATAGGGTACTCTCAACAAAAAGACACGCACACATTTCCACTCGCTCGCTCGTGTCCGCCAGCCTTGCTGAGGGACCCATTCCTTGGCAACAAGCCATGGTCAACCCTCTTGGCCATGGCTTAGGAGAAACCCGCTGCCTCCCTGTAGTGATATCGCTTCCTGAGTTGGTTGGCCAAAAAAAGTCCAAACCTTGTTGTTTACCACCAAAATGGTCTTCCCAAAAAGTATCAAGTCCATGAACTCAGGGAGTGAGGATATAGTATGACATGGTTTTTATGACCATGGTCCATATCCCGCCCGCCTTGAACTATAACATAATAACATATCAGCAACAAAGGTCTCCCAATGGCAGTGGTGGTAGGGAGTGATCAACTTTAAACGGCTCTGACTTAATGAGCAAACACACTAATCCAAATGGTAACTGCTTTGGCGAATTCCGCTAGCGGACAAGACCTTAACCTGCAAAATTGTTCAACGCAACCTTGGTTCTATGGGGAACTTGTTGGAGGGACCTGCATTGGATGCAAGTCAGCTCTACACATCAACTAGGGAAGAAGGCATCCCAAAATCCACCCTACTTAGACCACGTTAAGTGGTTAATCCGCCGACCCTCTGCCTCCCGTCCCAGCCTCCTGCAGAGGGGACCGGCGTGGGATGCAACTGGAAGTGATTGGAATCAATGATAGTTTTTTGGGGGCACGCCGAAACGCACAAAAAGTGGATTTCCAGGACCAGTCCTGGGACCGGTCCTGGGTCCTGGGACCCTGATTCTGCTGTTGGACCGGTCCCGGGACGAGTTTGGTCCTGGGACCGACGGTCCTGGGACTGGTCCCGGCCAGGACCGCTTTCAGGTGTGAGCGCTGGTATCGGGTCCCACTTCAAACTGCTTCCGGACTGGCACCCGTGTTTCAGGACACTGGACAGGGTCCCAGGTCCCAGTCACTCCCTGCAACCGGTTGAGGGGCATAGCTCAACGTGACTTCGGCACAAACCGGCCCGTGCGGTTATTGACGGACGAGCTGCCATCTGTCTGACTTTTCCGTTAATCCTTGTGGCAGTAGAGGATCCCTGGATCTATTCTGCAAGAGAGTCCAACACGTCGAGTCAAACCGCGCCAGACTGGGACCAGCCTGTCCCGGTCCCTGCCGGCGACCGGTCCAGGGCAACTTCGGGAGGGCCAGTTTCAGGGCGACCCCGGGAGAGGCGACTGCTCCCGGGCCAACTCGAAGTGACTTGGGCGCAAGCCGGCCCAAGCGGTAATTAACGGACTAGCTGCCATATTTCTGACTTTTCCGTTAATCCTTGTTTGTGGTCGTAGAGGATCTTATAAGTGGTCCCTGGGTTTGCGGACGTGTTTCAGGACCGGTCCTTGTGACTTTTCCCTTAATGCGCCGAGGGTCGGCGGCAGCAGGCGGGAGCCTGGTTAATACCCCAAGCAAATAAGGTCCCCTGGGATCTGAACGTCCAGAAATTTTCCTTCAACCAGCGGGGTGGTGCCAGCACGCCGGGTGAGTTGCCCAAAGGGCCCGGAAGTGACAGCTCAAACTGTTTGGAGCCATGACTAGAAATGGGAACCCAGCAGAAAAAAAAGGCTCAACAGGTCGATTCGCTTCGGACAACTAAGCTAGTTCACGAGTCCTTTGGATGGGATTTACCCTACTCACGGAATGAACACTTATCATACTATCGAGTGAAAATATGGGCCATGTGTCAAAATAGGGGAACCAGCCCTGAAAAGGTTTCGCTCAGTTCCCCCTAAAAATTGCCCAGAATGGCACCCGAAAAGGGGTACACAGAAGCTAATAAGTAAATGTGTCTGTTGTGTTATTGGGGTACTCCTTTTTTCCGGCTTTACAGGGAAACCACACAAATAGCCACCATTTTGGTCCTCCCCTAGAAGGGACACATCCAAAATTGTTCATATGTACCCCAAAAAAAATGCAAAAAACAAACTGGAGACTCCCCCCCCCCTCCGCCCCCCACATATGTCTCCAAAATCCCAGTAAAGAGAAAACAAAAAAACAGGAGACTTTCTTCCCCCCCGGGCCTGGGTCTCCCAAGTTTCCCAAAAAAACAAATATCTCCGCGGCCCCGACGGGCTGGTTATTTTCGAGCTCTGCCGAGGAGCCGGTAGAGCTCCTCCAGGATGTTGTACGCCGCGCTGCGCTCCAAGTCCTGCGGGAAAAATGGCGTGCCCAAAGGCGTCCCTTTTCCTCGGGGACATCGATGGGTTCCAACCTGGTGAACCTGGTGGTTTCATCAACCAGGGGTTTGTTAATCCGGGGCTAACTTTAAAGGGGAACAGATGGGTTTCCCTGGATGATTAAACCACCAGGTAAACCAATCTATTTTTCGAGCAACACAATCAAAAAGGACACCTATGGACCCAAGTGATAACCATGGGGCCATGACTAAAACTAGACCAAAAAGGAGAATCCAAAAGGTCAAAAGGTCGGCTTTGGGCAACTAAGTCATTTAAATATTTGCTCAGCAGCAGGTCATGGACATTTAGAATTGGGTAAAGGCTATTTTGTGATGCAACTAATGAAAATTGCGCAGCTATTCGAGCAGCATCATCAAATAATCAATGTCGCAAGAATGTCGAGTTGTTGTTTAAGATCCCCCTCTCCACCTAAATTGTTGAAAATAAAGTAAACTTGAGAACACCATAAACTTGAGAAAACAATTAATATGTTTCTTTTGTTCCTCTTTCACAGAGAAAAGTGATGTCGATGATACTCCGGTCGGCACGCTTCGGAACCGTTCGGGACAAGAGGTCCACTTTGAAAGGAATATGTTGTCCTCTGGCTTGGACACCCCGAAACGTCGAACCGTTCCATGTGAAAGGGTGGGAGGGTGCCCTTCCAATTCAGAAGACATTGAGGGACCCTTCCGAGATGGCTGGCTCGTCGTTTGGAGGAATTGGATCCAACAAGATGGAGTTATCGGTCTTCCTGTTCGCTCTCTTTAAACCCTCAATACCAGAAATACTCAAAATGAAACTCCCTTAGATAACGAAGCTTCCGTCGAGCACTTGTCTTCAAGCTCCAATTTGCTACAAACGAAAAAAAGTCCAGCCCCCCCCCCCCCCCAACCCCAAAATAATTCAAAAAGCAACGCGTTGTTTGTCTTTAAACAGAAGAAAAAGAAAAACATACTTTTTCACATGTCAAACAAATATCTACCTGCCCAAAAAGCAATTGTTGAGGGGGTCCTGGGTTGTCTGCCATCAACCGCAAGGTTCGAATCTCACAGGTGTCTACAACCTGTTCCGTGCGAATTGGATCTGAAGCACTTGGATGGTTGAACATCTGTACTTTTCCTCTCGCCAGCACCCCCCCGAACCACTGCTTCTTGGCCAGTACTTGGGACTTTGGGCGGAAAAAGCAGTGGTTAGGGGGGTGCTGGCAGCAAGTTATTGTTGTTGCACTGGGCAATAACCAAAGAGAAAGGGTTCAGGTTGGAATACATGAGTCCAAAGTCAGGAATGCATGGGCTCGGGATGGTTGCGATTTCAAGGAGGTCAGTCTTCTTTCGTATCATGTCTGGCCTTTCACCCGCTAAGGCCTCAAATTTGAGCCTCACATAAAATCGGAAGGGACCCGAGTTGAAACCATGGAACATGGAGTTTGGGTGAGCACTTCGGAGCAACCGGCGACTCCCGCAAATGATCTTTCCCAGTTTTGTCGCCTCATCCTTGGTTTGAGTAGTCCCGGCTCCTTCAGTATTTATCGCTTTCAGATCCGAATTAATTTTCCCCAAAAAAGACGAGCAGACACCCTTGTTGTTGATGTTTCTTCTTTAGAGAGCCATGGTTCAACAGACCAGAGACAAGGAATTCAGCCCTGGAATGCTGGTCCACCTCGCGGGGGTTGTCAAGGAGGCGGTCCTTGATCTCTTCACTCAGATCGGTCATGGCGACGCTGGCCAGGGGCCGTCTGGTATCTTTTTGCTGGCTGACTGCGTTCGATTCGTTTCGTGTGGGTGGCGCTTGGCTTGGCTTGGCGCCAAGCAAAGAGGGATGTAGATCAAATCACCATGTACTTGCCAAAAAAAAAAAGCACAGGGGTCACTGGATTTACTGGTGGTGTCCACCAAAGCTGCCTCTTTTGGAGTTTCCACAACGGGAAATGGCTGGGAAATGAAGCAACTTCGGCCATGTTCGCCTTCTCTGTGATGGGCAGGGGGTCTCATAGCACAGGTCCCGCACTGGTGATTCCCCTTCGGATGAATCAATGGACCGGGGGCACCTCTTCGAGTGAAACCGCAAGGCCGAGCGATTCACGGCCGCTGAGAAGCCGTGCGAGGGCGAGCGGGCGAGCAGTGCCGTCCGGGATATCGAAAACCACTCCAGCACCCCCCAAACCACAGCCTTTTGGACATTGGGATTTTGGACATGGGATTTTTGGCACTTGGGGGGTGCTGGTGCTTCCATCCGCTCCATAGCCATGGTCAGCCCCCCTCATATGGCATTCGGTCATCATTACAATGGTTCTTTCAAAGATCCTTACTACCAAACGGATGACCATCCCTATTGACCAAGAAAAAGGAAATGTTCATTTGACCATTGCACTTGTCGGCCCCTGGCCGTTTCACGGACGGGCTAGCGTGTGCTACTACAAACTAATTGTACAATGGAGTTTGTTGGTCCTCAATTGGCTCGACAGTACCAGCCCACCAAGGAAACCAACTCTGAATGCCTGAAACCACTTCGAAATAAAAATTGGATCGGGAATCATATTTTGTAGGAGCATCGCTTGTTCAAGGAACGTAGCCCAACAAAACAAGCCCATTGCCCATAGATGTTTCCCGGCACGGAATTCAGTTTCCCTCGAGTGCGACGCTATGTGCCTTGGTTGAAATGGTTGCCGGCCTCGATACCATTTCCGGGACAAACATGGCGCCATTTGTGTGCAGTCGCTGGATTTGCCCCTGCGAAATACTGCTCGGTTGCCACCCTTGAATAAACTGCTCGGGCGCCGGTGCGTTTAGGTCATGAATGTGGTACATGATTTCCTCGCCCAAACGATTGAACGGAATTGTGCGGAGCTGTCCCTTTGGCGCCGCAACGGATTTGCCAGTCCATGCAATCGTTGGGCGGGAATATCAAGAATGTCTGACATGGTGCCAGCCAGTCAGTCCTGACTTGCCAGGCAAACCCTTGTAACAACAATGAATGGCAATGACAAACATCGACAAGTCATACTTTGCGAGCTTGAAACCAGGAATTTTCTACCCAAACGCTCCCGATGTATTTCGCCTACAGTCACCCCCAAACGCCAAAGCTGTCAAGTCGTCAAGCCATAAGCCGAAGCCGAAGCTTCGCCCGCCCGACTCGCTCCCCAACTTCGCCTTCCGACTTGGGATCCCTTCGAACGCCTTGCAATCCATCCACCCGTCCAAGCGACATGCGGCATTCTGGTGTTCTTTAGGTTGAAGCAACCACTTGGGGGATTTCACTCCCTAAGACTTCACCATGGGCTCCAACCATGGTGTCAAAGTGGTGCTACGGATTTCGCCCATGAGGATCAGTCCAAACTCTTCCAAGGCCTTCCCCAACCAACTGACCCCCCAGGACCCTGTGACCCCAAGATGCGGCTGGGCTCCGGAGCCAACGGCCGATACCGGGCTCTGTCCTCGAACCCAGCCATCATCGAAGCGTTCGGTCGATTTCCGTGGTCTCCCCAGTGGATGTCCCTGGTTTTGAAAACGCGTCTTGTGCTAGTTCCGCCACATTGCTGTCCCCAATTGGAGTGAGAGCCTCAGCGGATGTTTCTTCCTGGGGGCACAACGGGGCGCTCGTGTGGTAGTTCCACCATGCTCAAGACCCCGCCCCCCCAATTGGAGTGACTGGAGCCCAAATCCCGGGCTTGTGGTCGTAGGGAACACACCCCGCTGCGTATTTTTTTGGCTGAACCCAACATGTGATTTCTGATCCATTGGGAAAACCCGGGTTGCTAAAAGAGCCTCACGTTCATTGAAACATTCCCACAAAAAGTGTGTGTTTGGAGTGGTGCGTTTGGGAGGGGTCGGTACTGATGCCAGCTTCCGGCTGAGTTCCAACTTCCAAACCAAAAGCATCAATGAAGGGAAACTCGGCAAATCAAGTAGGCAACGAAAGGATGTTCAAAACACAAGCCCAAATTCAGTTGGACCCTATGGGGATGGCCAGCGCCAACAAACCCTCCCCCTCCACCCCCCGCCCCAACAGCTGAAAGCTATGGGGTCTCTGCCAAGACAGGCTTTGGGGTGGTTTGGGCCAGCGTGGGGATAGACCTTAGTTCTATGTCTTCTGATGCTGGCTGCATCTTTGCGTCATGGCTTTTCTTTGCAAGCTGACAAGGCTACACACACATGGCACACACACACAAACAAACCTTCCTCAAAACAGCACTAGCACAGTTCCGAACAGGGCCAACTGCAACGGATAAGTTGTGAAAAGGTTGCGCCGAGCCCCCGCGAAGTCCGTATTCGCCTTGCCCAGGTTACGTTGACATCCACGGAACCCCGCAAACACCAATGTAGAGAAATATGTTGTTTCATTGTCGGGGGCGGACGCCTTTCTGGGTTTCTCCTGTGAGTCAAGGCACCTTCAAGTGTCTCTCAGTTCCGGCTCCGGTTTCATGCAGTTTTTAGGAATCTGACCCCCCAAATTGGCGCAACGGTTTCCTATCCCCCGCAAAAAATAGATCTGAGACCGTTGTCCCGGAGAGAACATGCAAGAAGGAATCCTATAGATGTTGGTCTGTGAATTGAAAACCAAGTCAAGTCATCGAGTTTAGCCCCATGTTTCCTCAAACTGGTGGAATCGCGTAGCCCCTGCCTGTTACCTTAAAGCAGGCTGGTCGATCTGCCGAAAATGCGCCCTGTCTCCTTGGCTCGACCAAACGCTGGTCTGCGGCACTGCACGCCTGCCAAGCACAAAACAAAATGGCGGAAGCGACTATAAATAATTGCTGACGACCCAAAAGGCGAGTCCTCCATTGGAAAACCCTGAGAAGCTCAGGCATTGCAAAACTTGGAGGGGCTTCAGGGTTTCGTGCATGGTTGCATTTGTTTAACAAGGTAGACTTAGGTCATCCCCTTTGGGGTTCCTTTTCTGTGACAAGGTAGACTTACGCCCAATTCATCGGATCGCCAGCCATGGGAATCCACCAGGGTGTGTCCCATTTCAGGGGAATCTGTTCAATTTCCTTTGGAAACCGAGCTGTGTAAGCCGTTGCAAGCGCATGTTCGAACCCGTGCGGGCAGTAATGTCGACCCCGGATTAATAAACCCCTGTTTATTATTATGGGGGAGTTCCCCTCCAAAAGTGCTAAACCCCCACTAAAACCCGGGACACCCCCATATTAATAAACAGGGGTTTATTAATCCGGGTCGACATGAACCCACTCACAACAGAATTAACTCCACCTAGAAGGCTTAAAAGTAGGCTACAGCCTAATGAACTAGCGACTTACTACCTTGCCCGACCCAAACACCCGCAATCTGCAGAAAGGGGAAGGCCCACTTCGCACAAGAACGAAACTTGGTGCCTGGCAAACCCCAAATCCATGACCAAACTTCCAGCCCCCACACTCCTTCCGCTGCCTGCAGTTCGAGAGAAAATTGTGGCCAAGGCGGCCAAGCGCAAGACTGTCGGCTTACGCGCCTACCTTTGGGCCGGCCCATCAAATGCCCGGCCGTGACGCGCCGCCGCAAAAAGTCACGCGCTCACCAATTGGTCCTGGCTGCGTCTCAAACCTTCTTCGTCCACTGCTTCCAACTAAGAGTTTGAGACTGGAGCTTCAATTTGGGCTTGACTGGATCTTCACCGCCTCATACTGACCAGAATATGGGTATGCGTCAAAATGGGGGAGATCCGGAGATCCCCAAAAATTGCGTTTTTCCGGTGGTTTTCCGTTCAACCACCCCCAAAAAGGGTACCCTCAAGAAATAACACCGCCGTCGGATGAGCCCGTCTTTCCAAGACAAGTCAACTCACACGCCCCACACCCAATACCAACTTTGTTTGTGGGTATGATGATCAACCCCTGACCAAACAACAAATCATATTATTATGAGTTCAAGACCTTCTTTAAATACTCAGAACTCTGGGCAGCTTTCAGTTGCGAGATTGAAAAATCCGGCCCCAGCCAGCGGCCGGTGGGGCGCGGGTATCTTTTGGGGGGACCACATATCCCGTCGACCAAAGCGCAAGGGACACCTTCCGGCGAAAAAGAGACACGTGAATCAGAACCTATGCCAAGGGGTGGATGCTTGAACTATACAAAAAAAAGAACAAACGATACAACGACAGGGGCCAAATAACGACATAACTACTAAACATTTCTCCTAACTTTACGACAGCTGGATTCAAAGTGTTCAGCCCCTGGCAGAAAGTCTGGCACTCGTGCGGCACTCTTTTAGTACATCAAAAACAGAACCTGACCCAACATATAGACCTGCCAATGAATTTAGCTAACTGTTAACTTGTCCCATAATCGCTGTTGGACTTGTTCGTCCCCTGGAAAGTCTGACAACATACCTCCGGTGGTACATGTCCTTTTAAACCAGCTAGGGTTCTTATTTTGCTAGGTCCTCCAGTAGAGAGCTTTGAATAAGGGTACCCTTTTATTCTGTAGTCTATTTTAGTAGGGGAACCCTCCCCCAAAAAAGTTGGTAAAAGGGCACTACTGGGGGACCCAGGAAGATGAGTACCGACCGATGGGCCGAGTCAGTCACCGAGCCAGTCCTTCCAGACCATCATATCGGCCTCCCTCTCGTGGCTGTCCGGGAACCAGCGCATGTGCGCCTTCCCCCGTGCGATGTCCAAGGTCTTCTTCAGCCGCACGAAGACGTTCTCCTGCGAAGCGCGAGGCATGCACGCTTTGGGAGAAACGAAAACGAGCCCTACGTTGGCCATGGGTGGCTCGTCTTCTTTTCGACACGAGGAACCCCTCTTGGCCCATGGTTCTACACATTTGGATGGTATCCTGAAACCAACCATTTGAGGGGTCCCAGATTTTGAGAAACACCTACATGGCTTCAGATTCCGTAGTTCATATTCTGTCAACTCGAACAAATCTTATGGTTTTGGCTCTTTGACCCTGTCGATAGACATCGACCGACGAATCCCCTTTTTGTTGCAAACTGGTTGATAGGCCGGCCACCAATCCCAACTCGTGCCTGGCGCAAATTTTGTCCATCATCCAACTGGTGGCTTCCTTTAGCTAGAAATCCAGGTCCCGGTTGCCGCTAAGCAGTCATTTTCCCTTTTAAGGGTGAAGCCCAGTAACTTCTACAGGGAAATGGAATCACTGGGTGAGGCAAAGCGCGGGAGAGGAAAACTAAACACCTGATGGCTCTTCTGAAAAGAGAATGCTGAAACAGTTGACATTGAGTGGATGATTCAAGTGGATGTTCGGCCAAGGGTATTGTCTTGTCTCTACCTGGGGCGCAACAATACTAATTATCCAATCTCCGGCAACTATTTGAACCGATGATTAATTCTACCCCACCCCTCCAAAACGAAGGTCCATTGAAATTGGCCCAAAAGGCGATGTCTAAACCCCCCCCAAAAGGGGAAATAGGGAGCCCTGTCTAATATTCGGTGATTCAGAGGCCCTTTTCACCTTGTTTAAAAACGGGCCACCAAAATGAAGCGGCCGCCATCCCTTCGGGGTATGAACAGATTCCGCATGGCTTGGGATCGTCACACCGCTACGAGTTGCCTCAACGGATCCGCTTCGCAGAGCCGAATGGAAGGGTTGAAAACCAACATACTGATGGACGAAATCCGTTCGCACCGCTTTGAAACCATGAGAACCCATTGTTTGTTGGTATTTACAGGAGAATCATCAGGGATTCTGAGGTGGTGCGAACGGATTTCGTCCATCCACAGTAGACCCGGCACAGGGGCCCCATGAAAAGGAACATGACTTTCCAGGAGCAGTGCAGCTTCCACGATTGTTTCTGGGAGGGTAAATCACCATAACAAGCACTAAGCTGGGGTTGAGTAAAAGCCTCTCGTCTGCAAAATACCATATGGACCTCGCTTCATATGGCTGGGGGCTCTGAAACTCGTGGGTGTCTGAAGGGGAAGGATTCAGGTGTGGGTTTTCTAGCCCAGCCCAGGACTTCGGGCTCGGAAGCCAAGGGGTTTTCTGTCATCTGTCCACTGTGGATGGATTTCGCAAATCCATTTCGCACCACCTCAGAGACCCTGGTTTCGGAGTCGATTTCCCAACGTAAATACCAACAAACGCTATGGTTTCCAAGTGGTGCGAACGGAGTTCGTCCACAGTATGGGCTTCACGGGACAGTTCCTCAGGCTTCCCACCCAATTCGCCTGGACATAGGGCACCCCATGCTTCTCGCAGATGCGCTGCAGCTCCGGCTGAGCCTTCTGGTAGCTGCGCATGGACAGGTCCGGCCAGCAGTGGTGCTCGATCTGGTAGTTCAGCCACCTCACAGGACGGAAAGGACACAGCAGCCACAAAATGAATGATGTACACCTCCCTTTCACTTTGAAAGTGGAGGCCACCTCACACGATTTGGGCGTTGGTCCATATTCCCTCAAAGGCCCCAGGTTTGACCATGGGCCACTTTGCTCTTTTAGTGAAGGTCATCTTTGATGGTTTCCCTGATGAGGGAGCCCATGCGAAGCCAACATGGATGCAAGCATTTGTGTGGCCTGTTGGCAAAATCGATGAATGTGTCTGGCAAATGATAGACAAAACCAATCTAAACCAGTGGAAATGGTCTATTTCTCAGCAAACTAACCGAGAAAAAGGAGGCTTGTGGACTTCATCTGGACTGTTCCCCTTCGATCCCCCGCTAACAGTTTAACTTTAGTGGTTTGGTGGAACAGGGGTCACTGGATATCCCTTTTCTCGTTGAATTTACAGGTGGTTCAAACA